TACGCTGGTCGAAGAAGAAGAAGATGATGATGAACAAAACTCCCTATCATAGCCCCATACATCTATGATGCTAGGTACCATGTCAATCCCTATATACTAAGTACTACCGTACTTAGCGATACTGTGTAAATTATTGTGTATTACATCATAGCTACCCTTCATCACATGCATCTGTACCTAAGTTCAAGAGCAAACTTTCACTTCATAATAATGTACATATAATTATGATATAAAACAGACTATACAATGTCATGAGCCAAATAATTATTATGACAGCTATAGCGTTAAATGCGCCCAAATCCTGCAGTGTTGAGGATACCGAACGCCAGCTGATACATGTAACTGTCACTGTCAGGTATAGGACTAGTATATAACTGATAAAAAAAGGGTATTAGCGGCACGGGGGAAAAGGTCCTTCATTATGGAACTTAATCGTAGGTGGCTTCTGGAACCCAATAGGTGGAGGGTGAATTGCTCCAGTTACAAATGCCAGGATGTCCTGCAATTTCAGGTTGAATGACACTTGATATCCGCTGGAATTCAAAAGCTACAACATTCCATTTGTGGCTAAAAAAGGAGAAATGCACATCAAAACCTTCATTATGCTTACACTACATTATATCAACTTAGGGTGCATGACTGTGTAGCTGTAGTTGCTTTGTGTACATATTCTTTCTAGTGCCAAATGCCCAACAATAGAGGTGGAGTCTCATTAGGGGGGCAAATTGTCTTTCTCTAGCCGTGGCAATGTGTGTAGCTATATACACTCAATGAGTTGTATGAAGTTCACCCAATAAATGAGGGCTTGCTCTTCAGCCTCACGCTTGTTGGAACCTATTTCAGAGTAATCGGTACGAAATACATTGAGGATGTAATCTGCATTCAATTGAAAATCGGGTTCAGTCATAAGCTTGTGAGATTCAGTTTCATCAACTCATGTACACCGAGAACATTGAGACCCTCAATGCAATCTTCAAGACCTAGCTTAGCTGATGCATCAACTTCAAACCGAAACATGTATTCATTACTATCGAGCAATTCTCTCATCCTGACAACATTTGTTGTACACAGAAGCTGCAAAGTAGAACAAAAATGAAACATTAGGCTAAGCAATCAAGGATGTGGTGGAAAGGCTTGGTGGACATGTATCAATGTGCAGGCACAAACTATAATCCTTTTAACTCGTTGCGCGCGGAAGGCCAGTATAATGGCCGTTAATCTTTCTCCGCGGTACGCGGAGGGCCCTATAGTGGCCACGTAATTCACGTAAAAGGGGGTGTGCGCGCGCGCGATAAATGACGCGCAAAACGCTGCGCATGCGCCGAATAAACGCGGCTGTATGATTAATCATTTGCAATGGCTCATCTAAACAAAGATCAAGTCATTGGGATGCTTTTTGATCCTGCATTTTACTCTGGTGGAGACTCAGATATTGGAGATGACTTAGCATTCCCATTGCCAATGCCTGAAGATGAAAATTGCAGCCCCAGTCCACAAGTCATGTCACAGGAGACGGAAGCAGAGGAAGAGACGCAGGTGACTAGACAGAGAAAGGCCTTGGTCCAGGCAGAGAGTGAATCAGAAGAGGAGATAGAAAGAAATAGCAGACAGAGAAGGACAGTAGTGCAGGCAGAGAGTGAATCAGACGAGGAGGTACTGAATGGGGGAAGAAGGCTTGCCAGAGGGAGAGGGAGAGGGAGAGGGAGAGGGAGAGGTAGACAGACTGCTCGGGAACGCTCACCTATATCCCAAGGTAAAATTAACCAGTTAGTAACAAACAAATAACAAATAAAGCTAAATGTAGTAAATGCTGATGGAAGGAACTGGAGAGAGATAGACCCAGCTGCTGATTCAGAGCCAGCTCCTCTTCCTTTCGCTGAGCCCACTGGACAACAACTTCCAGCAATGTCAAGTCAGACTCCAGCAGATTTCTTTCACCTGATGTTCACTGATGACCTACTTGACATGATTATCGAAGAAACCAACAGGTTCGAAAACGAATTTCAATGTACATAATGTAAGTGATAAAATTCTCTGTACACGCACAGATATGCACAGGCACGAATTGAGACCTTAGAAGAAGAAGGGCAGTTAGGTCCCCGCAGCAGGTTCAACAAATGGAGACCCCTGACAAGAAGCGAGCTGTGGGGCTTCCTAGCCATAATTCTCAATATGGGGATCATCCACCTACCCGACATTGAGAGTTACTGGAAGACCTCATGGGTGTGTCAGGTCCCTTTCTTCCATGATGTCCTGCCACGAGACCGCTTTCAGGACATATTTTTGGATGCTCCATGTCGGAAAAGCCGGAAATGTCCCCAGGAAGCTAGATAAAATAAAGTCACTCCTAGACATCCTCCTCCCCCGCTTTCGGGCTCTCTATTGTCATCACCAAGTCTCGCAATAGACGAGACAATGTTAGGGTTTCGTGGCGTTTGGGTCAATCCAGTATGTGCCCATGAAACCAACAAAGTGGGGGATCAAGCTGTTTACTCTAGCAGATGCTGCTAATGGGTACGTGCTAAACACCCTGGTCTACACTGGTGCGCAGACCCTAGAAAATGCAGACTCAGCCTACCAGTCTCTGCCCCAACCAGGCAGGGTAGTGATGGACCTGATGAAACCGTACCTGCACAAAGGGTACCACATCTCACAGATAGGTAAATACTGTTATGTGCTCGTAAAAATTGGAAGCCTAAGCCAAAAATAGTGGGAAGTGTACACATCATAAAAACAATCAATCGCTCCACTCTACTCTCTACCACCCTCTATTCTACCCCCTTACTCCATTCTCTACTTTACCCTCTATGCATACACTATATACGTACTCTACCCCACCCTCTATTCTTCTACAGTACCCCCTCTATCCTATACTCTACCCTACCTTATCCACCTTTATAAAAAATAGTACATTATGCTCCATAAATGTTTCACCCATAGGTACTACACAAGTATTCCACTTACGGATACGTTACTGTCACACGGCACGCTCTTCACTGGTACCGTCATGAAGAATCGGAAGGAGCTTCCAGCTATGATCCGTGACAAGAAGTTCACAGTCACAGCAGGTGAAACTGTCGCATTCCGTGATGGGAGATTGTTGGCTTTTGCATGGAAAGCTGAGACAAAAAAGAAACCACTGATGATGGTGAATAGTGGCTGTTCAGCAAAGCCAATTTCCCTCACAACACGGCGAGGAGCAGCTGTAAGCAAACCTGCAACAGTCAACAAATACAACCATTGCATGAATGGGGTGGATGTAGCTGATCAGCTGACCGTATTTTACTCATTCGTGCGCAAGACAAAGAAATGGTGGAGGAAGCTCTTTTTCTACTTCTTGGAGGTCGCAGTAGTGAATAGCTACATCATCTACAAGAGCTCTATCACTCACCCGTACAGTCATCTTCGATATCGCAGAGCAATTGTAGAGCAGGCAGCAACACTCTCTCTGCTGCAAGCCCCTCCTAGAGCTGGTCCAGGTGCACCTCGCAGATTCACGAGGGAAGATCTCCCACAACGGCTTGAAAAGAAGCAACACTTCCTAGGAAAGTTGCCCAAAAGCCGAGACTGCGTTGTGTGCAGCAAAAGGGAACCAGGGAAACTCCACAGGACCATCTACTTCTGCTCAACCTGCAGAGACAGCCCTTGCCTTTGCCCAGACACGTGCTTCAAGAAATACCACACCCTCACTAAATACAAGCTATGATGTACTGAACAGAAACAGCTAGTCCTCACCTGTAATCAGTCAGAAAACATCTGCTTCTCCCCTTCTGGCTCCCCACGCTGCGCACACGTGAATATCACGCGCCGCTCTAGCGCTTGACGCGTGCCACACGCGCGAGCGTACGTACGTTACGCGCGTAACGCGTCCGCACATGCGCAAAATAATTCCGCGCGGAGAACGTTGCGGGTGTACGAGTTATAGTGGGAGGACTCATCAGCCGGCCCCATGTTATTTACCCATTAGCATGACTCAACAACTTGGTAACAGGTAGAAGGCAATTAAGGCAAGGCACACATTCAACTACACCCAGGAGAGCTGTTTCTTTTCAAAGAACAGAAGAGAGTTGCCCTGGGTGGGATTCGACCCACGACACTCTGCAGTCTAGGAGAGCGCTCTACAACTGAGCTACCAGGGCAACTCAGCTGTAGGGGTTCGAATCTACAACACAACACAACACAAGTGCACACTCAAACCACTGTGCTATGGCACAGTACACTCTCACTCAGTATGTAGGATACACTAATAGAGAGAGTGTGGGTGATTACTGTCTTATAGTATCTTCCAACAGTGAATCTCCATTCCAGATACAGTATTCTTTAGCCTCCAGCAGTATACAATTAATTGTTACACATCTTGTATCTAATATTTCCAAACAGGAAATCTCAATTACAGATACAGATATTCCTCAGCCTTTTTATTGACTCTACGCATAGCTATACTGTTTGCTTTTGCTGACTTGCTTATACTGAAGTGAACTACACCTATCTAGCTGATTATATACAGCTAGCTACCCTTGTTAGGTCTCATGAGAGTAGATTTACGTATACCAGGGGCGTAGGAAAGTGTTTGCATTGGGGGGGCCACAAATGTTAGTAAACCTCGGCGAACTGCGCATGCGGAGCCACGCCTCCCCGCCGCGAGCCACGTGTTCTACGTACGTACGTGTTATACGTAGAACGTGCGCATAAAGCGGTCGCTCTGGTGGCGCGGCAGCGTTCGCCCTCAGGCATGGACGATAAGGTACGAACGACAACGGAAAGCCCTGGCCCCCGTAGCTGTTCCTACGCCCCTGTATACCTAGTGAAACTGTTTAGACCAACGTTCGGAGCCCTTTTCGGGTTCCTCCATCAGGGAAGGTAATTTCGCAGATCCTACCCTCCCCCTGAAGAAAAGTTACAGAACAACATTGGATCTGAAACATCGCGATGTACTGCCGAAAAATTTTTATAACAAACTCAGCCCATCTGGCAGCCGAACCCTCTGTTCATGGTTTTACCGAAAGTTCATAAGATAACATCCCTCTTCGCCCTATTGTCTCGGCTAATGAGTCTGTGACATACCAACTAGCCAAACATCGACACACATACTACAACAGATGTGTGGAAATAATGTACATCATGTCAAGGACTCAGCTGACTTGCCAGTTCTATTTCTAACATCGACTTTCAGTAATGAGATATGGCATCTTTTGATTGGAATCCCTCTTACCAGTTGTCCTGGAAATGAAGTCCTGGAATTACCTGACCGCTATTATCTGATCCCACCCTACAAGGTCCGTTCAACAATCCCTATATGGCATTTGAGAACTTTTGGATTTTCACAGAAATACTTATTTCAGTTCAGAGAAACCATCTAGAACAGACTGAAGGACTTGCAATGTGGCTCCAAATATCACCTGTCCTCACAATCTATATATGGAAGAATTCCAACAAATAGCATGACAACCAGCAACAGACCACGGCTATGGAAAAGATATGTGAGGATCACCACTTTGTAATTATCGCTCTCGCTCACTGTCAGTTTCTACAGCACCTAGTAGACTCGGCGTCCTGGAGTGTGATGATCATTTCATTTGTACGCACGAACTGAAGAAAACAGAAAGAAGAAACAATATCCCTACCATTTTTAGAAGTTTGGTAACAAGAGAAGATGATGGAGTTTGAGCACTAGCGACATTTATCACAAAACAACTCATCTATTCCGACCAGCTCCTCTAACTGATAGCCACACCCGCTACTATCTAACAACGGGAGGTCTGCTGTGTTCTTCTCTAGCAAAACAGATGCACGCCTTATTCTTCTACACCATGCTGCACTAAGAAGAAACAAGAGGAAAGATACCAGAGGGAAGTCTTCACTGCCACGCTACAGTCAGCGTGTATTTTGTTCCATGTTCTAAACCATGCGCTGTAACTCATCAGATACTATAGATGTGTGTGAGACTCCTTTGTACACACAACTGTGACATCCCATGGGGTGGGGAACCTCAGAGCATATGGAAGAAGTTTTTGGCTGCTAGAAGAGTGTGATATTAGGACAGTATTCAAGACAACAAATACTCTCCGCAACTCCTCTCCTACCAAAGATCATGCTTGCATAAAGACAACGTCTGGGTGTCGTATGCTATTCATATACATAGGCAAGATTGCTTTTCTAGTTTACATCGGACCGGAGACGGGTTACATCTGTCAACAGGCTACACAACAACACAAAGAAGCCACCAGAAAAGGATTTTTTGATACAGACAAGTCGGCTGTACGGACGGGATATGCGGACAGTTCACAATCACATATATAGTATTGGACAACTGCTACATATTCTAGACCTACGACCCTGACACTCCATCTCGCAGAATAAAACTCAGAGAGAGTCCAGCCATATAAGGCAGATGCATGTGGAGCCCTCTGATGAACACGAGAGGCCGGTAGCGGTCTGTAATCCTCACACATGTGAGGATACACTTGCGTCAGAAGCTAGTATGCGCTATTGCTGCATCTGTCACCGATAGCAGTTCGTTCAGTTGTGTGTTATATTCAGTCGTCCCTGCTGAAGGAAACCGATGAGGCGCCTACGAAACGTTGGTACTAACAAGATTCGAGTAACTCTGGCGCAAGCAATAATCGCTAGTGATATAGTTATGCCACCAGAGAACAAGAAGCCTCATAGCAATACATATCTGCAGGCTAACTAGATTCTTAGAAATGGTGATGTGTGCAACCTGCTCTAGGGCGTCACAGAGGTATGTATGTGAGACCCACAGTACCAAGTGTAGTATGGAAGACCAACAATATGTGAGCCCATAGTACCAAGGGTATTTGTACCACAGTAGCCCTAGAAATCAAAGGCACCGCACGCAGTGTATGCGCACTAAGACAACTCATTAGTTGCATGCCATGTGTATGGTGTGCTGACTCAGACCATACACTCACATGTGGTGTATGAGCTCTCATACACCATGGCATGCATACTAATAAGTTGTCTTAGTGCGCATTCCTGTGGTACAAATTGGTTACACTACATCCACTCGACGGTTTAGTGCATACACCACTCGTGCTGTGTGCACTAAACCGCCTCGTGGGCATAGTGTAACCTATATATGTACATTATGTGAGACGCACAATATGTGAGCCCACAGTACCATATGTACACTATGTGAGACCCACAGTATGTGAGCCCAGTAATAATATGGTACAAATACAGATGTGGCTGACAGTGTGTGTTTGTGTGTGTTGCGA